TCCCCGAGCCAGGCCGGTGGGGCCCCGTGCCTGCTGGAGGGGGCGCGGATGCGCCCTCCTCGGCAAGACTTCCCCGGGCGAAGGCTGCTGGGGCTCCGGGGGTCCGCCGACCGGGTTCAGGAGGTCCGAGCTCATGGCACACCTGGGGGAGGCCCCGCCCCCCGGGGGGGACCCAGGTGCCCGCAGGCGATCGCCGCTGCGGCATCAGAGCTCACGGTTCGCTGGCTCTGCCTGAACTAGACAGGCATCCCCAACCCCGCTTCCTCCAGTTTTGGGGTGAGAGGAATGAGAGAGCCCTGCTCTTTAGGGAGCACCAACTGTCCTCCGGTAACTGCCCTCAGCCCTGACTCCCTTCATCCGCACCCTCCCTCGGCCTTTGCATACGTGGCAGTGGGCTCCCTCCCTCTCACCACCTCCACGTGTGTTTTGGAGACAGGTACAGAGAAGTAACAGCCAAGGACTTTGAAACCACTAGTGCCGAGACGTGTACAGTGCAGCTCAGATAGATGACTCGTTTGGGAATGAATACTTTGTTTTGTACCTTCTCGGCCTCCTGTTTGGAGTGGGGGAGGTCTACAGGCCCCAGCTTCTGTCTAGATGGGGGGAAATACTGTATCTAGTGGATGACTGATATTTTTCATTTAGCTTTGCGCTGACTGTTGGGAAAAGGCGTCAGCTTTGTTACTTTGCAGGATTCGATTTATTTGCCTTTGTTCGGATCTGCTTGTTCCCGCTGAGTTTTAGAACGGTTGAGAACAGTGTCTTTATAGCAAAAGACTCGGCGTGAATTAAGAAAATAAATGTTTATGGGAAGGTGCTCCTTGCTCAAGGACGACATGCTGAGCATCTTTGATTGTTGCAGGGATCCACCTAAGAAGCATGGATCTCCAGGGTTCTTCTGAAATGGGCCTGGTCAGGAAAAGAGAAAAACAACCATGCTTTTCTCTTATTCTTCATTTGATTTTTGGAGAGAGCCAAAGTTGGGAATTAGCCCTTGGCCTGCTTGTCATAGGAAGCTGGGCTGAGCCACCTCACCTGTGCCTGTGCTTAGATGAAATCTAAAAGGATGCAAAATGGTTCCCCCTCAAAGAACTTATTCTTTGGAAGGACAGATTGGCAAGGAAGAATGTGTCACTATCAGAATTCCAGGTTTAAAGTTTAGCCTCTGGAGGCATATCCCAAAATGTCATCCTAATGCTGGCCCATGGTCCAGAGCTGCCAGCGTTCACAGGGCTTTCTGGAATCTGTGGTACAGCCCCTTTCTCAAAAACAAGTCACCTAGTGACGGGAACAAAAGTCCAGCTTCATTAACTGCTTCTTAACTGAGGACTGGGAGGATGCGGGGCACAGGGCACTGGAGCTATGCTGCATGTATACAAAGTAATGAACATACAGCATTATAGCATTATACAATTGTCAGAACTCATAGTCCTGTGCACCACAAATCTGGACCATAATATCAACTGCAGACGTTAGTTAATAATAACCCATTGGTATGGTTCAATAGTGCTAGCAAATATACCACACCAATACAAGATGTAATAAGAGAAACTGGTGGGAACTGAGACATGAAAATTCTACTGTGTAAGTTCCCTGTAAATCTCAAAATTTGTTCAAATCTGTTTTTTTTTTAAACGGCGCTAATTTTATAGGGCAGGAAGAGTGAGTTGTGGGAAGAATGACGGCATGAAAGAGACGATTGCTCGGGGTGGGAGCTGGTGGAAGATGAGCAGGTGCACAAAGTTCATGTGGACTCCGGGAGGAAGGAGGCTCAGACCCAGTGAAGAAAGTGTTTGTTGGTTGGCTAACACTATCCAGGGCTCCTCTTGTCTGGGAACCAATGGGGTGTTTTAACTGAGAGGATTAACAACTTTGCCCATGTGTTCTACACTCAGGATATGGACGGAGTTTATTGAACTGAAGTTTTCTTTTAATGTTGTGACATTTATGTGTTTGTAGAAGTCACGGAACAACCTCAGGACTCAGCTTGTGCTGAATTGAACACAGGTGGTCCAACTTGGCGTTAAATGCTGTCACCCACTGAGCCCCTGGAACTGAAACTTTGGGCTCTCCATCTTTCTGATGTCATCAGCAAGTTTTGAGGATTTGGAATTTTGGTGGGTTGTTTTTTTTTTTACTTTTGTTTTCTTTTTTGAGGCAGACATTGGATTCTAGGATTTCGTTGTTCTGTTTCCCCACTCTCCACAGTTCTGCATGCTTTGGTCCGTCTGAGTGATTTAAATATACTTATTTCCATGATAAGGTAAGTTTCTGGGGAAACGAGTGGTAACTAGTATTTCTGTAGGTTTTCTGTATGTCAGGCTCCAAAGGAGGCACTTTGCTTGTATTAACTCATTTAATTCTCATAATAAGCCTATGAGGAAAATGCTGTAGAGTCTCATATCTTTGCAGCAGACAAGATTGACACCTAGGAGTTGGGCAACTTGTGACAAACCACACAGCTCCCTAGTGCAGAGGCACTAAGACGTGAGGAAAGGCCAGAATGGACGTCTTCTATCTATTCTGATGGATTCTGGGGGAGGGACAGTCATTGCCTTAGATTGTGTATGAAAGAGCGAGCCCACCAAGCTCCCCTGGATAGTTTCAAATTCAGCCTCACAGATGGTTCTGGTTAAACTCAGAAGGTCACAGGCAAAGAACAAAAAGGCCTGGATCTGAGTAAAGGAACCTCTAGGGAGCAGACCAGGACCACAGGAAGAGGAGGAAGAGTGGCGGGTGGACTGAGAAAAACAGAATGCGCTATCCACATGAAATTATCAGAGTAAATTTAATCGATTATTTTTAATGCAAAAAAATTAGATGTTAGTTCTAAACCAACCACATGTGCAAGCATTCAACTGTATACTAACCCTGATCCGGGGTATTCTTCTCCATGCCTTTAAAATAGAAAACATCCCCACTTAAAGGCACAGAGCTGGCATCGTACATGTGGCTGTCTACATGTATTGCATCTCAAGGCTCTCTCCTGACCCAGCATGGCCTCCACCAGCTGGAGGCCACCATCACCCCATCACAAACAACTCTGACCTCCCTCTCACAAATGATCCATCTTGTGTGAAGAAACCTTGCGTCACTTCCGTACCCATCAGATGCTTCTCCTCTGTCCCCACATCCAGCCTAAACTCCCGTGACCAGCTTCCAGCCTATCCTTCTGCTGGGTTCACCTTCACTGTGGTCAGCTGTCTCCTCATTAGGCCGTGAACATGCTGTGCTCATTTCTGACTCTGCCTTGGCTCAGATTTATTCACTGACCTGAAATCCCTGCCTTGCTGACCTCTGACTAAACCCTCCCTATTTAACAAGCCTCTGTGGGGTCCCTCCTTCCTACCAGGAGTCTCCAGTGGTGGTTCCAGCCACCTACCTAATGGGTGAACCCCTCACCTCCCACCCCTCCCCTAAAAGTCTGTAGCACCAGTTATTTCTTTAGTAGTGTGGCTTTTGTGTCAAGTGAGATTCCCTTTTGGCTGTAAATCCTGAGTCTCCAAACACAATTCAGATTCTTAAGCAAGAATCCTCTCCAAACCCCCTCCTCCAACCACCAAGTGTTGTGTTCCCAGCAGGCACTAAATATTCTGATTAATTTTCATGGGATCATAAAAGCTCATAGATGTCTCTAGAAATTGTCAGCTAATATTTACCAAAATCCCATAAAGTTTATTGCAGCACACACGGCCCTCGGATGGTAAAAATATAAAATAGAAAATCGGGTCCTTTGCACACTAGGAAACCTAATTAAGAGAGACAAGCAAATACATCCTGAAGGCTATATGCAGAATCTATCCGCAAACACCGGGAAGTTGAGTCTGAATGAGTGTCTCTGCCCACAGACCCTGGTGCAGAGAGACTGGCTCTGACCTACTAACCACCAGAAGAGGAAATGAGGTGGTTTGGGGCTGTGCGTCCTGATGACATAAGCGAACTTGTGAACACGAACAGAGATCAGTAAGCCAGCAGTCAGCTGGGACCTAGCAGAGCTTAGGGGAGAAGGGTAGGAAGAAGTAAAATCAGAGCCAGGGGGTCGCTAATTCTAGCTTTCTAGTCAGGGTGTTTTCCTACAGGCTGGCAATACCTATACAGACCCTGAAAGAGTCTTCAATTATGATAGTTCCCATGAAGCTTCCACTAGATAGATTTTTATCGATTGATATCTACCATATTCAAAAATTAACATGGAAAACATTGAAAAATAACTTTAAAGTAGTAATAAGATCATTATATGCTAGCATACTGGGTATTGTTTTCTAATGAAAAGTAACTTTTCAGAGCAAACTAATGACAAGAATGGCAATGGTTTAGGTTTTTGCAAATGTCTTTACTGACTGAAGACAGAGTCCTGTCCCTGTCACTGCAGTCAGTCTACAGCAGTAGCTGTACGGATTGAAGCAGATGACGAAAACCCAGCCTTTCAAAGATGCAGCGGGGAAAGGGTGGACCATTTGAATAGCCCTGCAGATAACCCATGGATATTGTTATTTGCTATGATACCAACTCCTCTTTTAAAGGTTGCTTGAAATATGGAATTTGAAACATTTTAC